AGCACTCATGTTCCTAGATGCAGAAAAAGCTTTCGATAATTTGAATTGGCAATTTTTAATTCAAAAAATTTATAATTTGAATCTGGGTACCAAATTTGAAAATATTATAACAACTATATATGATACACAACAAGCTAATATAATAGTGAATGGGGAATGCACCCACCCAATAAAGATAGAAAAAGGAGTGAGACAGGGGTGCCCACTCTCTCCCCTGCTCTTCATATTAGCATTAGAGACATTATTAACACGAATTAGACGGAATTCAGATATAAAGGGATTAACAGTTAAGAAAGAGGAATATAAATTGCAAGCGTTTGCGGACTACATGATTTTCTTCCTTGAAGAACCAAAAGACAGGGGACCAAAATTGATGAGTGAATTAGAGAAATTTGGAGCAGTAGCGGGACTTAAAATAAACAAAAAAAAAAACCAAATTAATGACCAAAAACCTAACAGAAAAACAGAAAATAGAACTAGAAGAAATAATGCATATACAAGTGACAAAGAAAGTGAAATACTTAGGAATTTGGCTAACCCCACACTGTAAGACACTTAAAGAAAACAATTATGATAAACTGATACACCAGGTAAAGAAAGATTTAGAATCGTGGGGGAAACTTCAAATTTCACTACCAGGCCGAATTGCTACTATTAAAATGAACATTCTCCCTAAATTCTTGTACCTATTCCAAACGATCCCAATTAAATTACATAAAAAGTTTTTTGAAGAAAAAAAATAAAAAGCACTTTCTCTCAACTATCACTACCCAGAAACAATTTAACTACAAGGTAGCTACAAAAGGCTTCATGATAAGAAATTTGAAATCCAAAGGCAATATAATGGTATACCTAAGTTTCATGGGAATCCATTTTTCTTTTAAATAGAGGGCAACGGTATAAGACTTCGGGATAGGAAATTAAATCTTAAGCCAAAATACTTTATTAATTAGTAACTGAAATGATTTATTTAAAATAAGAAAATAATTTACCGTATTTTTCAGTATGTAAGATGCATTTCCCCTCCCCCAAAAGTGACTGGAAACAACTATGCATCTTATACAGCAAATGTTGCCAAAGCACTGCCCACCCACCAGTTTACACGCTTAGGGCCTCTGACACCCAGCAATTTGCCTCCTTGCAGCAAACAGCAAACATCCTGGTCAGCTTTAGCACAGCCTGATTTAGCACAAGCAGCTGATTATTGGTTGGATCTGCCTCCCTACGATCAACTGTTTCAGGCTGCAGGGATCGCCATTGCCTATTGCCACCTCTGCACTCCCCATTTTCTGCCTCCACACCCTGTTTTTGGCTCTATCCGATCCTGCCACCTGGAACAGGCCGAAAATGGCATACGGAGGCCAAAAACAGAATGCGGAGGCCGAAAATGAGGTGCAGAGAGGTGGCAATAGGCGATAGCGATCACTGCAGCCTGAAACAGCTGATCATCGGAAGGCAGTTCCATCCGACAATCAGCTGCTTGTGCTAAATCAGGCTGTGCTGAAGCTGACCAGGATGTTTGCTGCAAGGAGGCAAATTTCTGGGAGGCAGATTTTTTTCCCCCTTGTTTTCCTCCCCAAAAACTAGGTACATCTTATACTTCGAAGCATCTTATAGTCCGAAAAGTACAGTAGTTTACTGCTATCTTTCAGTATATAACACAACCTAAATATGAAGTAAAGCTTATCCATACAGTACATTATTTGAGATGTATAATTTTTCTTAATTGCTCAGGACAAATACCTGGAATTGAAAACACAAAATGATCAGCAACTATATGGAGGATTCTTTTTTTCTTGATTAAAATAGTGGCTACCAAGTAGAAAAAGTCTATGGGAGTTGCTCCATGATAAAAGATAATTAGTGCTGGCCCATTTGGTAGTTTTTCAAGACCGTGCACCTCATAACCTGTTATGGACAAAAACATTCAAGGTTAGCATTTCATACCAAGTTAATTTAACAAAATATTATTGAGATATTAAAATTATGAAACTGCTGGGTAACTATAAATACATTACAATATAAATAAATATAAATCAACTATAAATACATTACAATGCATGGCAGTTATTCGTTACATTACAACCCCACTTCAGTTGAACATCTTTGTATTAATGTTCAGTGATTCATTCATGCCAATCAGATATGTTGGCATGTTCACTCATGCCAAACAGATATATGGTTTTCTTGTTTTGAAGAATTATCATCACAATGAATTTGGGCTAGCTGATGAAAAATAATTGATTCTGGATTTACATGGTTTACAAAGATACCAAAATCATAAATTAACTTAAATTGAATTTGTTAGCTTCTTGTATAGCAAGTAATCCAGTTTCACAAAATCTTGGTCATTTTGTGATAAATGATATATTTTAAAAACATTTTCAAAATTATTCCTATTCTATATAGGAAGTAAATATAGCATGACAGAAAAAATGTAATGGCTTTCCTCTTAGCAAACAAGACCAAAAGAGGGAATCCAAATGGTGAATCTCTTAGAACTATATTATTATTGGTTTGCTGCATAGTCAGTGAGTTGTTACGTGGCAGGTGCCTGACTGCTCGAATTCTAAAGTCCTAGAGTAATTTATTTTCTTCATTTACTATGATTTTATCTTTTTAATGGTCCCACCCGTTCTTAGTTGCAGGCAAATGATATTTCTTGCCCTTCAGATTGATAATTTGGTTCACAACTGTCATGCACAAGAATGGTGGGATACTTACCATTCCATATTCTTGCGTGAGCATACCACATAGTTGCTAACATTTGTCTTGCACCATCCCAGAAATCATTCAAATAACCTTCTTTTATGTCTGTCTTTCTTTTGTAAATATGAACAATGATAGCAGAAATATAAAGGAGAAGGAGAATAACTGCTGGAAGCAGAAAACCTAACAGTAGTGGCATAAATAGCCATGTGAGATAGATGAGGTAACTCAGATATTCTCCCAAGCGTTCCACTCCAGTCCATTCTTCTAATATATAAAGTATGCATGATAAATAGGATATGGATATCTGTTCTGTACCACAGGATTCATTTTGGTGTATCATGTTCTGTTTAAAAAAGGAAATAAAACAAAGCATTTAAAAGTCTAGACTATCCTATATTTGTCCTTGAATTGTTACTTTGACTTATAATTATTAATTCAAATCATTAGAGAGAAAAATGAAAGAATGCTAATCTACACATCTCCTAAGAAATGAGTACAATTAAACTTAATAAAGCTTAATTCCAAACAAATGATTATAGAATGGCAGAATATACCACATTGTATATAATAAATAAACATAAACTATAGTCATGTTTACCATGATTATATGGCCAAGTGTACCATACATAAGAAAAACATATTTTGAGATTTTGACATACTTGCTTAGCTTGAAATTCTTGATTCTAACTTCAAGTACTACTAAATAGCAATACGGGTTTTGTAACAAATATTATGCAAAGCTTTGGTGTGATCCCTTATTTTAATATTGTACTCACACATCACTCTTCACTGTATCAAAAGGAAATCACTTCAAGCAATGAAACTTCTAATATCCAAGAAGATATAAAAAGTCAAACCCACATCCCTACAAATGTAAGAACATACTCTTATTTTTAAATATGCTTTTTATACACAATAGTCCAATTAATGCAAGGCCAAACTATTGAACACTCGAAAGGAGACTGAATTGGTGATAATGTTCTTGAAATGACCTATCTCTGCTTGCCAATTTCTCTATCTATAAAAGTTTGAAAAGGTTGCTTCCTTACAACAGAACCACAAAGAATCCTGTGGCACCTTAAAAATTTCCAAATTATTACCACATAATTTTTTCTGGGCTATTAGTGGCAACATCAGTCAAGAAACTGATTATGTATACACAATAAATTTGTTCATGATTGGCAGGTTTTGGACAGGGGCAGCCACTTGTCAGAAATTATTTTGGGAACTTTTGTACTGAGCAAGTCAAGATCTGTTCTGATTGATACATGCATTAAATAATCTAGGTCCATTGGGAATTAAGAGAGCACCAACGTGCCTACCGTCCCTGTCCTACTGTTCATTTTTATTTTTCTTATATGTATCCATTTCATGTATTCATAACTATGTTTATACTTATACCTGTTATCTTATAATCACTTGACAAATAAAATAAATAAATAAAAATAAATAAAGTATTCTTTGATGGTTTTCCTCCACCTGGGATTAATGGCTGGTCATGCTTACTGGGAAGAATTAATGTTGCAACTCATCAGGAGGGTAACAGACAGGGAAAACTGCCTGTTGGGTATGCTTAATTTCAAGAAAGGTGATCAGATGCAGCTTCTCCTCAGCTCTTCCAAAATCTGTGACCGGTATTGTTTCTTCTCCAGATTCACTTGTCCTATAAAGGAGTAGATTCACATTTTAATACTAAAGCCGGGGTGAGCTGAGAAAAGAAGAAGTGCCTTCATTTGTTTTTCCTTTGATCCTACCAAAATCCTAAGAAAAGTAAGGCCTGCAAAGTTTTGAATATGACCGTTTCTTCACACCGGCATCCGGAGGATTACTCTCCAAGCGGCAGGGGAAGAACACCCTCGGGACTCTCGCCTTTATAACGAATTTTCCTGGGAGCCTTCAAGAAGCAGAGCCGCCTCCCGTCAGGTTGTATCGGTAGGATTTTCTTCCGACCGGGGAGAGGTTAGCCACAGAGAAGAGCTTCAGGACAGACGGACAGGGAAAGGTCCGGAGCTCCGCGGGAATCAAGAGGGTGGGAAAAAGTCTTTGGCCACAGAGCCGCCGCCGGTCAACCGAAAACAACCCAATGCCAGTGCTGTGCCCCTCAGCGGCCGGCATTCACTAACCCGGATCAATTCAACCAGGAAAACCGGCCCGCCCGACACCTTCGCTCTCTTTCAAAGACAGCAAACGCTTCGCCGGCCGAAAGACCCGAGCTTTCCTTCTGCTTTTTCTCCCCACCCTCAGAAGGGCGGTATTGGGAGTGCGCGCTTCGAATGGGCACCGAGGCTCCTATGAAGCAAGGCAGCCCAACCAGCCTCCTACCCTACCGTGCTTCCCAGATGGGGGCATGCAAGCACGCGCCTCGGAGGGCTCGCCATAAGTAGGTGCGTTGTAAAGATCCGCTGTCTTTCTACAAAGGGTGGGAAAGGCGGCCGGCGTGAAACCACCCTTAAGTGGGACCGAATTAAATGAACGAGTTACCCCGATATCTCCCCTTTGCCCACAAGCCCCAAACAGCATACCAGTTTACCCCACTCCAGTTGTATCCTTCTACAAAGTTGTTGGCGCCGCCCCGTTGGTCCACAGATGAAAGCGTGTTGTACGAATTGGCCAATCAGTGTACACAAATTGTGGTTTAATGAATTAAGTACGTTGCCTGGTCTGTAATTAACCTACGTGGGCACAAGACTCTGAATTAGGAGGCAAGAGACCTCTTTCAGTGAATACCAAAAAAAAAAAAAAAAAATCAGATCGGAGCCTGTTACTTATGGTAGTCTATCGTCTTGTCACTCTACTAATTTCTGGCTCTATCAAGTCCCGAGGACCCCGGACGCTACCGAAAAGACAGCGCATGCTCGTTTTGTTCTGTGGCACTTCCTGTTTTTCATTTGCTTGACGCTTTTGTTCGCCGGGGCGTGAGTACGTTTATGACCTTTATGTTATAATTGGGGAAGGTCTGTTTTATCTGCTTTTATATTTCGTATTTACTGCACAATCTTCTGTAGGCAGTTATTTTAGATTACAGTGTCTTCTGTTGCTTATATTCTGTTTCTGGACGAAGACCTTGAATTAGTAAAACTTACAATTCAGAATGAAGCAGATGAGCCTAAAACCTTTTGGCTTGTGTACCTTTTAAATTGCTCTAGCAAGAAGATACATAACTGACTAGAAGACTATCATCTCCCCCTTTTCTGGTTCCACTTCAAAGCGCTGCTGCTGAGCATGAATTGGAGGTCTCTAGAAAAACATAGTAAGTTTACTATTACTGAGTTGCTGCAGGAATGCCTCACTCATCCTCATTTCTCTTAACCAACCATGGGTTGCAGGAACAGAAGGGAAGGTAGTGGTATAATCTGTATCAAAAGACCTGCTGGCCCCAGCTTTATCACATGGAATTTCCATAACTATCCAAATATCTAGTTAGACCTCTAGTAGTCCTGAATGGCCCTGCAAGGAGTGTTAGGCAGAGAAGCATCAGCTCATGCTCAGAGCTTTGACCTACAAGTCAACAAGGAGAGTGATAGGGAGAAAATGGAATTCCAGGTAAAGCATTCTGCGGTCTGGGGGGAAAGGATGAGAAGACACATTTCTCCTCTTTTCCTGATGTCTTGCCTTTTGTTGTTTCTTTTCCTAGGAACCGGAAGGCAGTTCTGAAAAAGCAAGCGTGGCCAGAGTGGAATGAAAAAACAATGTTCCTGCCTTCATTTAAATAGTTAAAATAGAGATATTTCTATAATTGGAACATTAAAATAACACTTAAAATGAGCTCTCGTTACTGTACTTAGGTTTCCACATATAATGGCTGCTATTCACTATATTTTACCAATACTTGACATGCTTTAAAAGCCTCTGCCTCACTTTGCTTCTTAGCTGAAACCCTGATAGTCTTTCTACCTTTTCATTCGTCTTAAATGAAATATTACTGGAAAAATTACAGGTAGTCTTTGATTAATGCCTGGTTGCTTAATGACCATTTGAAGTTATGATGGCCTCCAAAAGGTTACTTTGTCACACAGTAGCCCCACAGTCATTTGACTACAGGTGTATGCAACCCATTCAATGTAGTGCTCCATGGTCATGTGTCTGATTTGCAACATTTTTTTGCTGCATATACTGAATGTTTTAGAATATCTCAATTTATTCATAAATATAAAGATTAACAACATGACTAAAGGATAATAATTCCAATTACTAATGAAAGAAGTATCCATAAATACATTATCTTACAAAGCCCAACGTCAGTAGCTTTAGATCAGATTGGTTTCCACACAATTATATTTTATTTATTTCAGCTTTTTTATTCGTTTATCAGCCAAAATGTCTGCTGAAGTCCTTTCTTAAGACTATTTGGATAACCTGCTACATCAGAGCTACATAAGTTGTAGATGGAAATGGGCCATGTTACTAAATTAAAAATATTAGCTGTCTGCAAAGAAATAGCTGGTATGCTAATTATAGGTACTCCTCAACTTACATCCATAATTGAGTCCAAAACATTTGTTGTAAACTGAAACATTTGTTAAGTGCATTTCCCCCCATTCTACAACCTTTCTTGTCAGTTGTTAAGTGAATCACTTCAATTGTCAAATTAGTAACAATTGTTAAGCGAATCTGGTTTTCCCATTGACTGTCAAAAGGTCACAAAAGGTAATCACATGACACTGCAATAGTCATAAAAGTCAGTTCCCAAGTGTCTCAGTTTTGATCATGTGACCATGAGGATGCTACTACAGTGGTGTGAAAAACTGTCATAAATTACTTTTTTCAGTGCCATTGTGAATTTGAACGGTCACTAAGTGGTCTGCTGTAAGTTGAGGAGTACCAGTCTGATGGCTGGTAGAGCAGCAACAGAGCTGGTGGCATTGGTAAGCTTGGATGTGTTGGAGCAGTGTGGTAATGGTTGCAGATCATTCCTGATAGAAGTAAAATTATTTTTTTATTATTAAAAGAAATATGCAGGCCATGTCTTGTACCAGCCTGCTGTACATGCTTTTCCAGACAGATCATATCAGTTTGAATATGATTAATACCAACCAAATTCTCTAAGAATTCCTTCCACTCAAAATACATCCCATAAAAATTAAAAATGTCTGGTGAAATATTGCTTCAAGATCGCCTAAAAAGATTGCCTGTTTCACAAAAACCCAATAGTGATATTCTTTGCCATTAAATTTATATATATATATATATTATATATATATATATATATATAAATATTTTTTATTAATTTTCAATAAACAAACATACACGAACAAAACACAAAACATGAAAACATAAAACTTCTTTTTGGAAAGCGGCTTAGTCCCGGGTTACATCTTTTTGTACAGACATAAATCAAATTCATGCTCACTTTATATACCATTTCATATCTTATTTACCATTCTACATTTTCTATATAGCTTCTCCCCTCTTTTCACTCTCTTAATTCTATTTTATTTATTTCATCTCAATTTAAATAATTAAACTTGTATCTTTTGTCTGTTCTATTTCAATTATCTATTATCTTTTCTCATTAACACAAAATTTCTCCTGTAATCACTAATTGAAGTATGACGCCTTTATATCTTTCCCCTAAATTTAGCACTTAAAATAATATATAATTTTCATTCTGAATCTGCTTAGTACATTCTAAAGCTACGTACTATATTTTAAAATAGGAAAATAATAAGTTTATAATATAATTAAAACAATAATCCATAGCAAATTAAACTATATCATTAAATCTTAAGCATTTTACACATTCCTTTGTAATATTTTATCCCATTTTATAATCATATAATGTTCCAGTTTTCTAACATTATTTCAAATACAAATACCACAATACAGTCCTATGTACTTTTGCAGAATCTCTTTTTTAATTATATTTTTACCCATTATCTCTGAATAAATCCTGTTTCTTTACATCTTGTTTCAAATCTTTGTAACTTCTCTTCCCTTTTTCCCTTACTTTCTTCTCCAATCTAGCCTTTTTTCCCCCCCCCCCCCCCCGTCTCTTGATCTCCACCCTTTTAATCTCCACCCTCTTTTCTGTTGCTTTCTGACATTGTATCGATTTTTCACCTTATTTTTCCCTTTTTTGGTTGTTTTTTTAAGTCTTAAATTCTCCATTCTCTTTCCCTTTTCTTCCCCAGCTAAAGTTGTTTGTTCATTAAAGATGGCTTCTTCTTCTTCATCCCAACTTTCTTGTTCTTGTAATTTCTGATAGGTAGAAATCGCCATTTCTAAGAAATGAAAAACAGATCCAGAAGAGCCCTTCCCTTCTTGTTCCTCTTCTTTTAGCTTTTTAAATTCCATTTTCAGCTCATCAGTAATGCCATTGTGAAAAATTTTTAAACAACCCAAATGTTTTTAGTCTTTCAAATAATAATTTCCAAAGGTCCCAAAGTCACCAAGCAATCCAAATAGACACAAACTGTTTCATTTAGCACTTTCTTCTTTTTATACTTTCTCTTCCTGGGGTACAGTTCAATTGCAAAGTTCCAAAGTATATCTTTTAGAAGTCTTGTTACAATTTAACTCTGATCTTATAAGTTCCAAGCAGCCTCCTCCAGCAAAATCTTAATATTAATTCTTTTCCTCTCCCTTCCCACTTATAGCAAAAAAAATTTTTTTTTTAATTCCAATGTTCAGAAATCTTTAATGTCCCCTTGGCTTTAATTTTCAAATTTAATTACCTGCTGGTGCCAAAATGGGTTTTTCCGATTTCCATCTGCTATCACCGTAAGGAAGGAGAGTGAAAAAAAACCAAACTTTCCCTTTTAATTTTCATCCGCCGCTTTTTCCAATCTTCGTTGGGAACAATGTATCTTTAATGAAATTAAAATTCCAGGGTATTTAAATGTTACTTGTTATCCCGGTTCAGCCAAAAACTTTCACTTTCTCAGCTTCCTCCTGAACATTCTTGTCCAGATGAAAGCTTCTTTGTGGCGGCCATTGCTGACCGCCGCTCCACCGCTTTTGGAAAAGGGAGTTAAGCCAGCTGAGGAGGGGGGTTGCGATTCCCTCAGACCCCTGCTGGATCTCCCCTATCTTCAGTTACCTCTATGGGGTAACTATTAGCCCCCAAATCCAGCTGGATCGGGGGCACTCCAGCGGCGAGCGCAGCAGGAACCGTGCATGATCGTGGATTCCTCCCGCTGCCGAAGCCTTGCAAACCGGAAGTCCGCCATTAAATATATATTGATGGGTCCACTCCAATATATATTGCAGTGAAGCACAACACAGATGGCATTCAATATAATTTTAATATTTTTTAAAAAATATTTCTTGGATTTATACAACTGCCGTATCTCACATTAGCAATTCTGGATGTCTTACAATGTTTAAAAACAATACAGTAGTGAAATGCACAATATAAACAGCAGCCAAGAAAACAAATCAGTCTAAAAAGTGTTATTGATTAGTGTGCTTAATGAATCCAATGAAATGGTTGCATTATTCAAATTCATATATTTAATAAAATTACAGAATAATTATAGAAAACAAAAAATAATTATTCCTAAATTATTCCTAATTTAGGATTGCTATGATTATGTTCATGTCATTCAATTACAGCAATATTTGTTCTAATTACACTTGCACTGTTTTTCTTTGACAGACTGCCTTTTATCCATTTTGCAGATGAAGAGTGTCTAAAATCACCACCACGATTGCACATGTGTAGCCTCGCCTTAACTGATTTTTGGATCTCCTTATATGCAACTTCACAAATTGCAACTCAGTCTAGTCTTGTATCATTCACTAATCATGACCTACCCGTAAGCACATCAGTCTCTAAGTAACACTTTAACCTTAAAATACACCCATGTTTTAAAAGCCTTATAAACAGCTATTTAAGTACTTTTTGCATGCAAATGAAAAAAAATCACATTTTATCCATTTTTTACCGAAAAAATACAATACTAAATTAGAAAATAATATAAATTAAATTTTTTGATATCCTGTATGATTGTCAAAATCATAATTAGCAGTGTGCTGCCTCGCTTGGCTTAAAACATTTGACCAAATTACTCCTTTTTCTTTTCTTTGTGAAATCTTTCCAATAAAGCCCGGCAGATGCTTCCAGGAATTTGCTGGTGCTTTCTAATTAATGACTGGAGTGCAATTTGGGTCTGAAAATGAAAGTAAAGAAAAAGGAAGAAATGATAAAACATTTCATTATCACAATTATATTGGTAATAAGGGTTCACTAGAAGAATAAATGATAAATTTATGAAAGAAACATCCTTGGTACTCTCAAATCCAAGTACTATCTAAGCCCAATCCTTTGTTCTGTGGCCCCAAAAGGTTCGGAACAAATAGAGGCATTATATAAAAGTATAGCTGCTGTTTAACTTTTTAATTTTCATAGAAAAGTATACAGACTGGAAATATTTTGATAAATTATTTGGGGGTCCCTTCTCCCTCCAATTCCCAGATCTAGACTAAATAAGGTCTATGACTCTTATAAATCTAAGAAGATTACAACTCTTCTTTTTTATATATATTTTTAAATCCCTTTTATTCTACCACCTCTTACTATATTTGACAAAAGTATCAGCAGTATAGTTCTTCAGGTTTTGTGATTCTATAATCCAAGTACTTGAGGTGGACACTTAACATTAGAACCATTATTAGAAAGGCACAATAAAAAAAATGTTCTTCCTGCATCAGCTCAGGAAATTCAAGCTGCCCCAGGGGTTTGACACAGTTTTACAGAGGAATTATTAAATCTTGTCATTTGTACTTCTGTACTGGTACAGCAACTAAATAGGACAGTTAGATACTCCAATTGAAAGACTGCAGAATTAACAATTGCAAGCAGTCTGCTTTCCATAGAAGACCTGTATATTGCGCAAGGAGGCTGAAAATATATCTATTTAGAACCCTCACATCCTGAACTTAAACTGTTTCAACTCTTCCCTTTGGGACAGTGCTGTAGGGCAGTGGCCCCCAACCTTTTTTGTGCCACGGCCCAGTACCGGCATCACAAAATGATCTGCGGCCCGGTACTGGCATCACAAAATCATCCATGGTCTGGTACCGGCATCAGCACGCATGGCAAGGCGAGCCGAGCGACCGGCCAGCCAGCCATCCCCCGCTTCTCCCCGCCACCTTCAACTCCTCCTTTGTACCTTTGTCGATGGGCTTCGGGACAGCTTCGGGACGGTCGCTCGGCTCGTCTTGCCTTGGGTGCTGAAAGAATCCTCGCGCCTTAGTTTTGTTTGAAGCCGCCCCCCCCCCTTCGATGAAACTAAGGCGCGAGGATTCCTTAAGGACCCAAACGCCGCTTTCCAACCAGAAAAGCTCACCGGAAGCACTTTCTCATCAAAACAAGGTGGCGGCGCCCAGCAAACCGGCGGCCCGGTAGAAAATGTTCCACGGACCGGTAGCGGTCCGCGGCCCGGTGGTTGGGGACCCCTGCTGTAGGGCATTACATACCAAAATAACTAGACACAGGGACAGTTTTTTCCATTGTGCTATCTGCTAAACACCTAATTTTCACAGTGCTGTCTAATAGCTACATGTATTTACCCATGTAATATGTATACTGCTGTAGTATTATTAAAAGAAAAAAAGAGTAGCTCCAAATACATATTTCAACCTTTATTTATATATTATACTTATTTCAATCATGCTTAATAAGCCTTTTAAAAGTGTAAACAATACAATATAATTTAGGTAGCTTAGATATTTTGTTTGTTTCAAACAAGATCATGAATGGATACACTAACGGGAAGCTCCAAACTAAATTTAATTTTAGAAATTGTTTAATTAAATTGATTATATTTGCCTTAATACATTTGAAGTCCTTCTAAATATGGGCTGCTGAGGCAGATAGGCTGGCTTCAATGTGATGGTTTTTTATGTTTCTTTTTAAAGCATTCTCCAAAGTTTTATCAATATAATTTACAAAACAATGTATCATGATTTTTAATATGGAATTGCTTGCTAAAATATGCTTACTTCAGTGTTTTTGAATAAGCACGTCTTTGAAATTAATTAAGTGCCAGACTTCCTAACCAACTGTCACTGCAAGAAACCTAGGTAGCCTCTGAGAACTAGCCAGGAATCCGTATTGGAAATAAGATCTTTTACCTCCTACTGTTTCCAGAATTTTTACAGAGATTTCCTTCCAATGATTATTTATTACTCTTATGGACATGCATTAGCTAGGAGTACAGGCAGCCTTCTGGTTAAGAACACATTCCATTCTTAACTCTGTCTTTAACCTGATTTTGTATTTAAGTTGAATTTCATACTGGCTACCTGTTGCTAGAAGTGGCAGGTGGTATTCTCCTTCCTTAAACTAGTGAACTACTGGCGCAACTTGTTGCTTTCAGAAACCACAGAAAACAGGCTCTATATTGAAAGAGTATGGCTTCAGCCTTCTGTTGGCTTGTGTCTTCCACCATTTTTGGTGATGGATAGCCTGTTTGGATGTCAGGATTTTCTTTAAGTAAGGCATTCTTAGCCCGGCGATTGTGTAAATTTAACATCAAGTTTGTTATTATGCAGCCACTTTATTTCCCCAACTAAATTTATAAAGAATTAAGATTTCTAAATATATTTGTTACTATAGAAACCCTAACAAGGAGGTAACGATAGAATAACTGCAATTGCATTCATGGACTTCAATAAGGCACCACTAATTTGGGCGCCTCCAGAGGAGGTATGGAGAACTGAATTTCACAAAGCCAATGGCCATGGCAAATCCAAGGAATTGGTGAGAAGACCAGTTCCTTAGAATCTCTCTGGATAAAGAGAAGGCAAGAGATTGTGCATATATACCCTGGGTGGCTGCTCTTTGTGAGACTTCAGGAGGCAGTTTTGTGGGTTTGGGTGCTGAGAAAAATAGGGATCAGTTGTGAAAGATCAGCACCCAACGCTTGGTTTTCAAAACGAGCCTGGGAATCTTGCTCTGCCAATTGGCCTGATGCCCCAAGGGGCTTTATGAAATATTTTAATATTATCACTATATTTCTTTTACTAAGCCACCTAAAGTTCCCTTTTGGTAAGATGGGTGGCATATCAGTTTCATAATAAATAAATAATAATAAAAACATCACTAATTTTAACTATAAATTTATGAAGGCACAAAAGCTTCATACATTAATCTATAAATCATAACATTAATCTATAAATAAACCTGGAGTCTTGAATGTGTTAAGGGTCCCGTTTCCTGGTTGTATTGCTAACTGGCCAAGTATCTCAGCTGCTATGTATATATTTTTAATGTTTTTATTGTTTCTTATTGTTTTAAAATGTTTTTAGTTTTTTAACTAATCTGTTTTTTGAGTTGTAAGCTGCCCAGAATCAGAATGAAATGGACAGCTATAGAAAGTGAAAAAGTAATAAAGATGATAAAATAAGAAAATAAAATATAAAATAAAGTGTAATTTCCACAATTTAGTTACAGAATTTGGTCATGACTAGATCTTACTTGCACTGTTTTAAAAATACAAAAAGAAAATACTTTTCCAGGAATAATTTGAATTATATTAGTCTTATAAAAAGCTATGAGACATTAAATTAATGTTGTACATTAATTTAAAATATATTCTTGAAATTTGTTGACAAGCAAGAATTGAAGATGTTTAAACTGATAAACAAATCATACTTTTGCAGCTAATTCCTCAGCAGTTACATTTGGATTATACAGAATGGGTTCTCCAATGTAAGTACGAAATTTGACTGGAAATCCACCGCACACTGGAAGGAAGGGGATTCGGCTATATTCATATAGCCTCCTAGCTAAAGCTCCTGTGAAAGAAAGAAGTTAAAACGAAAATATAATATGAATCAGATTAAATATCTAAACTACATGTTATTGGAATCACTTTATAGAACTGTAGTTGCTCTTCAGCTGCAATATAGCCATAAAGCTAATCATTTAAATAAAAATAACACACCTGCATATACATGTGCGCACACACATACACAATTTCTGTGCAAGCAAAAAATTAAAACATGGGTTTCTATTTAGTATTGCATCCTAAATTCACTCCCTTAAAAGGGGTTTTGACAAAATCCATTGCTTCAGCTGGAGAACAAGGAATCTGTATAGCAGATTAACAGGAAAAAAATGCTGTAAGAGACCATATTCCCTATCTCCTGGGTTGTATGTTGGCTGGTTATTTTACAGTTAGAAAAGTTTCATGAAGAGCTTTTATAGACATTGGACTTCAGCAGAAGCCTGGAACCAAAGAGAAAAGGGGCATAGGGAAGACTGCTTTTCCTTAAGACCTTCCTCAGGCAATGCTTAATTTACCTAAGGCTTCCTCTGGATTCAACCAAGATTTCACCAGAATATAGTCAATTTCTCCTTGTTAACATTTGAATTAGCAGATGCCCATATACCATGCCTCTACCTTTAGATTCAAAAGACTGAGTATTTTAGCTAAATAATTGATTACATGGGCAATTAAACTAGTAATTATGAAAATACTCTGCAAAGGAAAAAAATCCCACAGACAGAAATATATATGCTTATTAGAGGAGCCTTTGTGGCTCAGTGGTTAGAGTGCAGTACTGCAAGCTACTACTACTGCAATTTGGCAGATCGAATCCCACCAGGCTCAAGGTTGACTCAACCTTCCATCCTTCCGAGGTGGGTAAAACGAGGACCCAAATTGTTGTGGGCAATATACTGACTCTAAAACTGTTTTGAGAGGGCTATAAAGCACTATAAAGTGGTATATAAGTCTAAGTGCTATTGCTATTGTAGTTTGATTTCCTCTTTTTTTTCAA